AAATACAAAGAAATTAGAACAATCAAGTAGCAATTTATGTTATTTAATAAATATTGACAAGTTTAGAATTAAAATTATGAATTTAATTGAAAAATAACATCAAATTTTAGGACAATATTTATAAAGTATGAAATATTTGAGGTATATTAATAAGTTTTAACAATTTAGGGGGCCAAAACATAATATTGAAAAGATTGAGTTTTTTTTTTTAAAAATGCCCATTGAACCGGAAAAACCTGTTTTTCCCGGTCAAACCCGGTTTTTGATCGGCTTTGACCAGGCTTTAAATTTCCGGTTTTTTACCATGACTCGAACCGGACACTTGGCAGGTTCCCGATTCGACCGGCCGGTCCAGTCCGAGTTTCAAAACAGAGATTTCAGGGACTGGTGAAAAAATGCAATGCTCATTAAGATGTTATTTCCTCCATCCCACTTTGATGAAGATGTTTTTCTTTTTCATCTATCTCAAATTATAGTTTACCTTCCAATTCAAGAATATAGTTAACTTTTAACTTCTCTACAATATCCTTATTTAATATACTTCGTTATTAGTAAATATAACCTATCTTATTTAATACAGTCAACTTTTTTACCAATAATTGATTTGATATATGTCTTGAATGGTACAATATACCAACATTATTATTGTTATAATTAATGCAATGATATAGTAATTGGGGATACTCCTAATATTAATGTAAAGGTATTTTAGAAAACATTAAAATAGATTTGTTTTTCCAACAAAATTAACTAATTTTTTAAAGCTGTGTGAGAAAAAAAATTAAAACTATCAAACTGGGATGGAGAGAATAATTGGCAAGTGGATTCAATCATTATACATGGACAAAATTCTCGTGCACTAAGCACTCAACTCTACCGTGTTAAACCTATGTAAGGCTACTAGCTAAAACACCAGCTAATTGATTGGTCAAACCAGAATAGCATCTTTAAATTTACCAGCTAATTGATTAAACTTACTAATTTCACTTGGTATTAAAATTCGCACGTTGAAAAATGCATATATGACGGACAAAGCAATTCAACAAAAATTTATTGAAAAAAAGTGCTATTACAAGAGCTCGTATAGTAACATATATACATAATGTTGGATCCTTAATCCAACATTGGACTTATATGTGAATAATTATGGGTTGCAAACTGTCAAATAAGGTTAAATTCAATTAAAATGATCAAATATGGTTTGGATTTAATGTATCTAATAGGATGTGTGCCTTTAATGTGTAGAAACTTAAGGGCTCTTCGGAAAAAAAAGCATGATTTAGCATTGAGTGGGCTCCTATTTCTATGATGGGATGAAATAGGGCTCCAAAAGATAACAAGAATGTTACTTATAAATAGGGTTATGGTCCCCAGGTCACACGTATCTTTTTTGTCGTATTTTCTAGTACCACAATATACAGCTCTTTCCTGATATCCCATCGTCAGGAAAGATACCAGAGAGATACTAAAGGGCTCTCTCAAGGATCTGTAAATACGTGTTGACCTGAAAGGTCACCCCAAAATCTCTAGGGATTCAAGCACCAGTTTGTCAACATGAATCAAGGTACGCTTCCGCAATTTTGTGCTAATTATTTCTTAATAATCGCCATAAAGATCTTGGGGTTTCATAGGTGATAGTTTTCACCAAAGGTTAAATATAAATAACCGCCCTAACACATAAATCTACTTCACTTGCAACTGAGCAAATGATAAAACACTTGCCAACAAAAATAATAGAACTAATGATCTGACAATGAACAGTACATAAGTTGGAAAAAAAAAAAGAGGAAGCCCTAAAAAATTAAGTGATGTTGGCTCAAAAATATGCAGCAGAAGCACAAACAATTCCACACCACTTGTTGAGTAAAATATGGAGCCTTTTGATTGGGAATGAAAAGGAAATATGGAGCCTTTAGGTATCATTTTGCCTCCCAAATTGAAGGCTCTTACAAACCACATATTTATGGATAGGCTTATCCAACCAATCAAAAACTAGAAACGCCAACCACAAACCACATAAACTAAATAAAATAACAATTTAATTTGGTTTAAAATTTTGCTACCAAGTGATAAAAAGGGACATCTCACAAAATCTAAGCTAATCTTAAAGCAGAAGTCCTCCTGAACTAGTGGATGCAAGAGGACAGATTGTATTGATAGGAGTAGTAGAATATGGTCCTTGAAGCATGCCCTGAGCTACCAGTTGGTAGGCAGCTTCGGTCAAGTGCAAACCGTCCCAGTTAACATACAAAGACGGATCGTCACAAGGAGTTGTTGGTAGGTCGCCACAATGAATTGAGGAAATATAATTGTACGGGCCTCCAGCTCCGCAGCAAGCCCTTAGAGCTTCTCCTCTAAATCCTGCAACAACGATTGAGATATCAATATATGTTCCAGTTTTGGGGACCATAAAAGCAAAAGAGCAAAGTATTAGCTTTGTTTATGATAATTATATTAAAAATTAAAAGAAAAAGAAATGGCTTATCAGAATTAGTAGAACCAACATTCTATTACCGTTTTTACCGTGATCGACCCGAATTGCTCAACCTAACGTGGCTCAGATATGTACTGTCCATTTTAAAATTTTTAATAATTATTTGTAAAAGTTTAGAATTTTACGGTACAGATTAGATTGAAAAGAAAACAAGAAAAAGGAAAAAAGGCTGTATCAAGGATAAAATATTTGACTAAAATTGCAGCTTTGACAAACTCCATTGACTACATTTAGTTACCATATATTATCACTGAACTTTGTGGTAATTCATCCAAATTGTAGGGCCAAGGATTCTTTTGCCTTCATTCCCCATCTTCATATATTATGTTTCGAGACTAGCATTGGATAGGAAGGAGAAAAAGAATCCAAGGCAAAAGTAAAATGTAAATCAAGTTGAAAAAATGGAGAAATACCATATGTGATTGGGGAACGATATAATCTCATTGCAGCATTGTAGTAATCGGCATAGATTATGGTGGCATGAGGATGAAGTGTTCTGATGCGATTAAGTTCTTTCTGCAGCAATCTGTTATGATATTTGGCTAAATCATTTAACCAGTTTATGCAACCAGTAGCCGTGTCGTAGTCATGCTGGTTGGAACTTTGAAAATCAGTCAGATAGGCAGCCAAGCATCCAATTGGTAAGTTCCCAGGAACCACCAATGTCACAGCTCCAAGCTTAATCATTTCCTGCATTATTACCATGAAATTGCTCATTCACTAAGCTTTTACAACAAAAATAAAAAAAATTAACGGATGAATTTTAAAATAACATCGCTGGAGTAATTTCTTTTTTTTGAAATACATGTAATGTAGTTGTCAAGAAGAAGGAGACTATTAGACCAGTGGTCAACGAATTTCAGGTTGTTTTTTACCTCGACAGCTGAAGCGATTTCGCGCACAACAGCGGGAACATATGATTTGACCTCATCTAGTTTTATTCCATTAAGAAGCGCATGGTTGTAATCATCGCCCCCAATCTCTCCCATAAGAACAAACGAGCTTTGAAGAAATTCGCTGCTGCAATCTGTTCATCATGTACATATTTGATTTAGAATCATACATGTTATTACTACTACCTTGCTTTTTCTTCTTTTTTTTTTTTCTTAAGTTGAGATTTCAGGACTTACAGATTATGAGTTCTATTCCCCATTCTCCCTCCGACTTCTTAAATTCCATCTTTTCCCAACTAAAAGGAAAAATTGAAGAAAAGAAAAAGATTGGACATTTCACATTTAACAGTTGCTGGTTTACAACTATACTTAGGGTCCGTTTGGGATTGCGGTAATTTATTGAAAAGTATTTCTCTAATAGAGTTTTTAACAAAAGTACTTATCAACTGTTTAAATGCTTTTAAATATATTATTTAGTAACATAATTCAATAAGTACTTATTGTATTAGATAATGTGTAATTTGAAAGTTTTTAAAAGTGTTTATTTTTTTATTTGGTTCATAATATAATATAGGATAAGATGATTAAATTTAATATTTTATTTGTTAAATCACAAAAGTAACTTTAAAAGCATCAAATTTGAACTTGTATTTTTAACACCAAAAGCTCTACTCCTTATTTTATGAGATGATATTTACCAACACTTTAAAAGTACTTTTAGCACCTAAAAATATTTTTTCACTATAAGCATCGCAACCCGAAATGGGGCGTTACTCCTATACTATGGGAAAAAGAAAATAGGTTCAAAGGGATCATTAAGAATCCAGATAGGACTAAACCATCTCAGGGTCATTAAGAAGAATTCAAAAAGAACTAAACTGCCTCTACACCAAGGCACCATTGGATTTGAGAAGCTAGAGGTCCTTGGCATTTAATGCTAGCAAGGGTAGTTGATCCCTCAACCAACACCCTAAGAGGGACTTAAAGGCTTTCTTGGTGACTATTGAGGCAATGGTCCGGTAGTTTACCTCACACCTGTTCGTTCGTTTGTTTATATTCTAATGGCACAGAAAACACTACAAAATTTCCACTAATATATTCACACTCCATTTTGCCCGCTCTACGGTATGTACGACTCATTAATTTACTTACCTGAAGAGTTGCTGCTGCATAGAGACGGCAATATATCTTTGAACCACCTTAACTGTGTTCCCAGTGACACATTCGTTGAAAGATCATGCAGTCCCATTTCCAAGAAAAATGAATTGTTAAGTGCTGTAGCTCCTGATACAGCGAAATTCACGCCTTGTCGAAAATCCGTACTTTCATCTCTCCAAAGGTATGCTGGTACTAACGGAAGCCCAAAACTCTCAGCTAAAAGGCCAGAACATTTGATCAATGAATTAACGTGCAATCAAAATGATGAAACGTACATGAATTTAAGGTTGCTTTAGGGTCTGAGATGATGAGAATTGAAGACTTGTTTAGAAACACTAAAGCAAAATCTATCTGATGGAAAAAAAAAAAACGAGAGCAAAATCTGTATAAATAGTACATCTTTATAACTTAAATGTGTGATGCGCTTATCTCTCTCTTTTTCTCTGCGTTCGTACCAATAAAATCAATGATGAGACGGCCATCGGAGCAACGACCGGTAGGGTGTTTAAAGAAGGTTTCCCCATTCGGTGGTCGATAACAGTGGGTAGGATTACCGGGTGGGAAGAGCTGGACTAAGTTGCCGGTATCAGTGAGGGAATCCCCAAAGCCGATGATGGATTTGTAGCATGATCCAGCTGATGCTCTTGCTGAAGTAGATAATTTCAAGAAAGAAAGAATGGGTATTGCTAATGCAGGTGTTAGTAATTGGATAGAAGATGAAGCGGCCATGTTTTACTAGTAATAATGGTGAAGGAAGGATCTGAAGGTTAAAGAAGTCAAAATATTCCGCAATATGAAGCCAAAGGCTACGAGTCTTTCAGATGGCCCTTTGTGCGGATTTTCTTGCAGCAGCAGCAGCCATTAATTAACGAGTCCCACATACTATACTAGTGGAACTTCTGTAGCGTTCTCTATAAAGCACTTGACAAGCACGTGACAGGTACATGTAATCACACCCTTAGATTACTCCATTTGAAGGCAACACCGGCGTCGATTTCAACATAACTGTAAAGGTGTTCTTCAGATTGACCCGTAATAAACGTGGTTCTGTCCTTTTGCAAACTGCATATTTATTAAAGAAATTGGGAGATGAAAGGGAAAAAAAGCTAGCATCATTAACTATTTAAGAAGCTTTTTCAGAGTAGCGTACACCTATGTTTTTAGACACAGATTGGGCATAGACCCAGCCGAGTTCAGCGGTCCGGATAATGTCATAAATATGTATACCGTCCCTGCACGGTTAAGGGCCAAGATTTGCCCTCAAAATTTTGTGCGGCTGAGATTACACCATGTATGATAGGGTATAATTTGTTAGTATTTTTATTATTAATTTTCCCTTCTATCCCTGACAAATATTGTGTTAATTGCTGATATTTACTCATATTTGGTATTTGGAATCAATTTCAGGAATGAAGCAGAAAACTACCAAAAAGGAGGGACTTTGTGAAAAATATGGAGACTTCTAAGGGCTTCAATCCTTGGGCCCTTGAATTGGTGGGGGACCACAAGCTAGTGAAAGGCATTTGGTCATTTGGGCTTCAAAGAAAGCAACGTAGAGAGACTTGAAACAAGAAGTACTTGGGAGGCTTTGTCCACATGTGTGGGGACCACCTAGATAACTTTTAGTCATCTTTCTTTTGTTGCTTTAAAAGGGGACAACGTACAGAAGCAAGAGATATCTAGGGCTTTAGTTTTAGTTTTTTTAGTTTAGTTCTAGTTTTCTTTCTTTGGACTGGCCTCTGACACACGCCAGGTATTCGACAATATTCCCCAACGGGGAGATTTTCTCATGAGGCGTGGTTAAGCTTTTCTAGTCAAGGGAACAACTGACGATTTGATTCGACAATTACTGTGAGATCGAATCTGTTTTAATTATTTTCTTCATTTATTGGTATTTATATGTTCCTTGATTTTAATTGCTATGGCCTTGTGTATGATTGATTAGTGCGCAATAATTAATTATTCATATAGGCTATTTTTGCTAAATAGGGGTAATTGAATCCGTAATTGTTCGTTATCTCTACCTCAGTAGCAACTGGCGTAATTGGGTTTATGTCAGGGGAGCATATGATCTAATTTAAACAAACCCTCGTAGCGTGTTTGTTGGTTAGGATTGGACCTTTCTAATTATTAATGCAATCTAGAAATTAAATCCTACGGTCGTACCTAGGGTTATTTTTGGGTTAGAGAAATAGCTAACGGTCGTACCTTAGCTATCGAGAAATTAAGGAAGGGTTGGTTGTTTATCGCGTGCATGACAACTATAACTAATCTATTGCTAAATGTTGGAATTATTTCTGCATCAATGATCAGTGCATGAACCATTTCTGATGTGTACCCTTGGCTAGAGTTTCCCCAATCATTTCTTTTAATTAATTATTTTCTGCAGTTAATTTATTTAGTTAGCATTTAATCCAAAACCCCCCATACTTTGGACTCTAGAAGAAACAAATTATCCCCAGTCCCTGTGGATTCGACCCTACTCACCGCTATATACAAAATCTGTATTTTTCTCGACCCTACCCAGGCCAAGATTTGCCCTCAAAATTTTGTGCGGCTGAGATTACACCATGTAACTCGATTTTCGCGCCAAGTGTGGGACCCACCACTATCTGTTGTGAAAATACATCATGTGAAAAAAAAGTTACACGATGTACAAAGAAAGTTACGCGCAGTTGATAATGACCAAAATTGCCCTGGACGGTTGCACCTGCAACCGTCCGTGCCCCGAGTCCATATATATATATATATAGAGAGAGAGAGAAACACGCACACCCATACAATAACTTTTGTATTTAAAAAAATAAAATATTAAATTTAATCATTTTATCATGTATTATGAACTAACTAATTGAATAAATACATTTAAAAATTTTCAAATTTTACATTATCCAATATAATGAGTATTTATTGAATTTATGTATCCAAACAATATAGTTAAAATCACTTAAGCACTTAATAAGTATTTTTAATAAAAACTCTCTTACATGAATTACTTTTTACTAAACTACCGCAACCGCAAACGACCCTACATTTAGGAATGACTTCAACAACATACCCACATAGCATCCGGCCGTAGTGTGTTTGGATTGCAAGTTATTTGCCCAAATATATTTGCTGACATCACTATTACAATTTCCAATACACCTTTTTATCTTCTCAATTACCTTTTTATCTCACATACATCACATCACAAAAAGTGTTACAGTAAAAATATCTCAAATAACTTACAATCCAAACACACTGCTAGCTCTTACAATCTAAGATAAATTTTCTCAGGCAATGAACTTAACGAAGAGAATTTCAATAATCCAATACTAGATCATTATCTCTAAACACCGCAAACAAAGTTCTCAATTTCAACGCAAGAAATAATAAACGGAGGTTCTAGATTGAACGCTATTCAATAGAATTACACAAAATCCACAAATTATGACCAGTTTCCTGGGCAAAAATTAATCAAGAAAGTGCTGACTTTACGTGCTTTGTCCTTTGGTAAACTGCATCTTTACAGGAAACCTGTTTGAACCACTTTATTGAAGAAATTATGAGATGAAAGAGAAAATAGCATTAAGTCTAAAGAGCTTAAAAAGCATCTTTAAGAATTGCACACTCTAAATGTGTGTGACCAGATCAACCGTGTTTAAAAAGCTTAATAGTAATTGAGCAAAAGAGATCAAGTGGTTAAAGAATCTGGGCTTACATCCCAAAACAACGTGTTTGTTCATGGTTCAACAAAATTCTTTTGGTATTCATGTGTGAGTTGAATAATTTTTCGGAATATTAGTTAGATTCTTGGAAAGAACTGATGTTGGTTTCCATGACAACTTGGAGGTTTAATCTTCGAATATTTTAGGACTAAAGCTATTCTGATTTCAAAAAAAATCTATTCTTGTTATTGGTCGGAAGGATTATTATAGCCCAGTCTGTCAAAACAATCAAAAATTCAAATGGTGTTAAAGTATAAAAGTGAGGTCTAAAATTTTTTTTTTCTTACACTTTCGTCTAATTTGACCAATTCTCAACGTTACGAGCACGTTCCACTTGAGGAGCTTAATTAGAACCAAGACTTCAAATCTTGAAATGCAGCTGAATAAAAAAAAATCTTGAATATCTTTAACACGTTATTGATCAACCTGGACTCAATTTTGTCATGATCCAGGTTGCAAAACTACACGGGACACATGTGAATTTGTTAAGTAGTAATATGAAATTAGAATTCAGAAGTCCATAGGAAAAAATGAAGCAAATTTTTTTTTTTTGGGGATAAGCATGACGTCTCACTTACACATTTGGGAACTTCATTTTGTATTTATTAAAAAAAATAAAACTAATATTTCAAAAAAAATAAAACTAATGCTTTTAACTTCTAAAGAAGATGATAGATGAAGGGTGATGTTATTTACACTTTTATTAGGTTATTTGCACTCTCATTATCTGTTTTTCATTTGGATAAAACTATATATAATTTCTATCCTAATTTCTTTTTCTACCCTAATTAGATGATTAAATCTGATAAAGTTAGCTCATGAACAAGAACAAGAAATTAGTGCAGGAAAAATATGATCTCGTTCAACTGAAAATAAAATAATAAAAATACAAATAATATAATAGAAGTGTAAATAACATTACCTAGAAGAAGAAAATAACACAAATGATCTACAACGAGGGTGAAACGAAGTACCAAATTGTTGTGGAAAACGATAAAGTTGCATAAGAGCATTGAAGTAATTGGCATAGACAATAAATGTGTCAAGATAACGTTATCGAATTTGACTCAACTCTGGCACCCTGCTTTTAAGTCCTTGATTGTGAGACTGACAAAAGTCGTTTAACCAATCAGACAGCGGGTAAATTATCCGGAGAGCCACTAAATTTTTTAAATCATCAAATTTTATCCATTAAATTATTAAAAATCTAGTTTTGGCCACTAAATTATTCAAAGTTTAGATTTTGAATCATTCCGTCAAATTTAATTATTAACTATGCCCTTTTCTTTTGTCTCGTAAAGTATGCGAGCACTTATATTTGTTATGTTTAACGATGAAATCTAACGGAATGGTTCGAAATCTAAATTTTAGATAGTTCAATGATCAAAATCAGATTTTTAATAGTTTAATGATCAAAACTTGACAATTTCAAAAATTTGATGACCATCCAAATAATTTACCCTAAAGCAGCCTGTTTCTGTATCACAATCATCTTTAGCAGAATCATTGAAATATGTCAAGGCAGCTGTCAAGCCAGGTCCTCATTGGATGGACTCCACCACCCAGAGAATGGCTTAAATTGAATTCTGACGGATCCTGCTCTCGCAACCCTGGTCTCAGTGGATGCGAGACCCTAATAAGAGACCATCTTGGTACTTGGATTAAAGGGTCGATTCGGAAGCTCGGCCACACCAACAATCTGATTGCAGAATGTTGGGCCATTAGAGATGGACTCAAAATCGCAAGATCATTGAATATCCAATGTTTGATTGTTGAATGTGACTGTGAAGTTGTCCTTAAAATGCTAAACACTACAATCCCTGAAGGTCATGACCTTGCTCCTATCTTAAATGATTGCAGGTACCTTCTTTCTAATTTCCAGCAAGTGCAAGTAAAACACATCTATAGAGAGGCGAATAGAGGAGCAGATGCACTAGCAAAGTTAGGTGAAAAGCTTTTGTGCCCCTTTTCACTTCTAGATTCCTGTCCTCTTAGCTTAGGATCTATTTTGTCTGATGATTTGAGGGGAGTCTGTTTCCCCAGATACATTGCTAAGTTGTAACATTTCCTTTTGAGCAAATTGCGCGAAATGTCACTAAACTATTTCAAAGTGCCGGTTCTGGTCACTAAACTTTTTTATTAGCGCGAAATGTCACTGAAC